TTGTAAAATTTTAGAAGAACATATTATTTTGGTGAATGACTTTATATAATGACTTAGTTTGGTTAAAACCGTCAGTTTGCACATACACCTCGATTAATCCACAGATACCTATTGCCTCTCACCTGTACCAATCAGGGGCAGCTTACGTATATTAATGATCTAAAACAAAAATCAAACGGGGCCTTTAGCTTAAATTGTTAATAACTTTTTGTATAATTGATTTTCTTTTAGTTTTCAATTGATAATATAACCGTTTCTATTTCAAATTATTTTTCATAAGATATAGTTATAAAAATATGTCAAAATTTGTCTAATGAAAAGTTTACAATGAGGCCCCTTGAATTTGGGGTTAAGACACATGTCTTTTTTTCAACACTATCGAGCCACCCCTAGTACCAATATAGAATAACTTTGTTCTCATGGGGTGGTCCAACAAAGCTACCTTTTTCTTTTCATAAACATGATATTTCGTGTTCAACTTGTACACACCTCGATTAATTCGAGAAATAATATACCTACTACCTCCCACTAGTACGAACGATAGCTTCGTCCCCATGGGGTGGACATACATACAAACAAAGCTAGGTTTTATTGCACTAGAGTACATATCCTCTGTTGTAAAATTATTGCTTTGTGGAGGGCAGGCTTTGAGAAAAGACAAATGGATACACAAGACATTGAGTGTTCATTGATTAGAGAAACTGTAAATGAAGAAGAGTCCAAGAACAAGAAAAATGAAATTTTTGAAGAAATGAAGAGGTTATTGGTACTAGCAGGACCTCTTATGACAGTTAATTTCTTACTTTATTGTTTACAAGTGATATCTATAATGTTTGTTGGTCATCTTGGAGAGTTACCTCTATCTGGTGCTTCAATGGCTACTTCATTTGCCTCTGTAACTGGCCTAAGCTTGATGGTTAGTCCTTATTGTCATCTCTTATTGTTTCGTTTCTAATATGATCGTATCGATAAATCTTAAATGGACTTTTACCATCCACTTAAGGACATGTTGCAACCATAATTGATACATATCTTCATACAGTTTTATTTTTTTTAGTTATTTGATACGAACTTAAGTGGCGTTTTGTTATATCTGAATATCGTAGATGGGAATGGGAAGTGCATTGGAAACTTTATGTGGGCAATCATATGGTGCAAAGCAGTATCATATGCTTGGTATCCATATGCAAAGGGCAATGCTTGTGCTTCTACTGGTTAGTGTTCCTGTGGCTTTCGTTTGGGCTAATGCAGGGTATCTTCTCGTATTATTTGGACAAGATCCGGAAATATCAGCTGAAGCAGGAAGTTATGCGCGTTATATGATTCCAACTATATTCGCGTATGCACTTCTACAGTGTCATATTAGATTTCTACAAACACAAAACAATGTGAACCCCATGATGTTCAGCGCGGGGATCACTACTTTACTGCATATATTTACTTGTTGGATTCTGGTCTTTAAATCTGGCCTAGGGAACAAGGGTGCTGCTCTTGCTAATGCGATATCCTACTGGATTAATCTCTTGTTGTTAGCGGTATATGTCAGAATATCGCCTTCTTGTAGAAACACTTGGACTGGATTTTCAAAAGAGGCGTTTCGTGATATATGGAAATATATGAAACTTGCCATTCCTTCTGCTGTTATGCTCTGGTAGTGTGTTCTTTGTCTATGTATACTCGTCCTTTCATAATGAACGAATGAATCAAATGTTTTGCCTTTTGTGACACAGCTTAGAGATTTGGTCATTTGAGATGATGGTTCTGTTGTCTGGACTTCTTCCGAATCCAAAGCTAGAGACGTCGGTTCTTTCTATCAGGTTGCAGTTCTTCTTATGTCACACTAACTACTAATCTCTTAGTGTATCAAAGGGTTGATAATTTTGAAATGTTTCAGCCTTAATACATGTGCTATGGTGTATATGATTCCGTTAGGACTAAGCGGTGCCACGAGGTGAATCTCTTAGCATTTTAAGATCACCTTCTGTTGCGTTTTTCCTTTATATGGTTTGTATACTTAATTGGCTTCCTCCTCAGTGTAAGAGTTTCGAATGAACTAGGAGCAGGACGACCTCAAGCAGCTCGTTTAGCAGCTTGTGCTGCAGTATTGTTAGTGGCTACAGAAGGGGTTGTTGCAGCAATTGTGTTGATTTCTGTTCGTAAACTGTGGGGCTACTGTTACAGCACCGAGGAAGAAGTAGTCGAATATGTAGCAGAAATGCTAGTCTTGCTAGCAGGTTCCCACTTCTTAGATGGTATTCAATCTGTACTTTCAGGTTCGTTCAATATTTTACAATACGAGTTTCCTGTTGCTGTGTTTCAAGAATCTGGACTATGATTCTTTGATTTGTTTTAGGCTCGAGGAGCCTATAGGTTGGTACGTCCCGTGTCATATACTCAAAAATGTAAATGTACTACTTATAAAGGATCTCGTCGAATTAGGTCCAAAAGCTAGCTCAAAAGGAAGAGGACTGCCTTGTAAGGAGTCCACTCATCTCATTAACCACCGATGTGGGCCTTCTGTCATTCTTTAACACCCCATCTCACGCCAGTGCTTAGTATCTGGTGCGTGGGCAATTTCTATTTTGGGGGTTCCAACATCGGGTGAGACGGACTCTGCTGTGATACCATGTTGAATTAGATCTGACACAAATCTAGCAACACTTTTGAACTCAAGAACCCACATTCTATATTCAAACACATACATATATGGTTCGACCCTGAAACACGAGTTCTTCTGAATCCACAAACCCCCATGGTTGAATTTGTCACTAGATTTTAAATGACTAGTGACCTTATTAGCTATCAAATTACAGGTACTGCGCGAGGGTGCGGATGGCAAAAGATTGGAGCAGTTGTTAACTTGGGAGCTTATTACCTTTTCGGAATACCTGCTGGTGTTATATTAGCTTTCGTCTACCATATAGGTGGAAAGGTACGTACATATCATTTCCCTCTTCCGAACTATAGGAAGATCTTAACGATGATATGATTTTCAGGGACTATGGTTGGGTATTACACTTGCCCTTTTTGCACAAGCACTACTTCTTTTTGTAGTTACTCTGCAGACAAACTGGGAAAAAGAGGTAAATTCATCGGTTATATTCTTGAATTGTGTTACCATCTCATCGTAAAGTTTAAATGGAAGAACGATTGCTTTTAGTTAATTTATATTATGTCTCAAACACAGGAATAATGCAGGTCTGTTTTTTGAGTTTTGTAGGCAAATAAGGCAGCTGATAGGGTGGTTCCAGAGCTAGTTAACATAGAAGAAAATGCAGAATTGACACTTTCAAGAGACTAAACCAACATGTAGAAATGTTTAAAACCGCGATTTCTAAACCTTTCTTTAATATCGAAATTTGCCTTTTTTCTTACTCTCTTGAAGTCGATGTCTAGTTAAACACTTTTACATAAAATGAAACGGAAGGAATGTTTAGTTTGATAAAAGAACAAACACAAAAACAATCCTTCCTAAAACTTTTTTCGATGATGTGACACGAGTGTTGCAATATTTTTGGAGAGTTTAAGCACCATTGATTTGGATGTAGCATGAAATTGATATGCTTTATGCTTGAGTCACCCTAACTGCTGCTTTCTTTACCTACAAAAACACAACAAACTTGCATTATCTACAATGATTCCTTGATCGTGATCACCGTTGCTCAGACTCTCCAAAAATGTTGGTGTATCCGTGTTTGAATCCTCAAAAAAAACGCACTACTTTGGAGGATACAACATGTACCCGATAGCATCTTTGAGGACTCCGAGCAACACATGAGATTTGGCTATGTTGCTCAGGCTCTTCAAAAAGTATTGCCACACTCGTGTTAGATCCTTAAAAGTGCACTACTTTTAGAAGATCTGACACGCACCTGACGACATTTTTGAAGAACCCGAGCAAGTTGAAATTGAAACAAGCCTTGAAATGGAGCAAAAAACTAACCTGTTTATCCCAATTTGTTCTCAGAATAACAACAGAATATATCACAACTTGAACAGAAATGGCCAGAATGATTCCCAACCAAAGTCCCTTTTGCACAATTAGACAAGTAAATGTATAAGTTCTACGCACTGACGTTGTAAATTAAAAATTAACAACACGAGAATACATTTGATAGCGTAAGAAAATCTTAACACTCTGTCAGTGCATATAACTTAAACTCGAGAACATAATTCAATGAAAATGAAATATGTGAAAGTAATAGTACCTTTCCTCCAAAATGGTATACAAAAGCTAACACAATACCAATTGGTATTCCCCACAGATAAAAGGCACCCAAATTAACATATGCACCTATCTTTTGCCACCCACATCCTCTAGCAATACCTGAAATATTTTTTTATAAGGTCAATGACGAAGCTATAAATTTTCGTTAAGAGTATTCAAGATTATAATATTTGTCTCATGTACACAATTTAGACAGACCTGAAAATATAGATTGATGTGCATCTAAGAAGTGAGATCCTGCTAAAAAGAAACACATTTTCCCAACATATTTCACTATTTCATCTTCATTGCTATAGCAATGGCCCCAGACTTTACGAATCGAAACCATGACAATAGCTACTAGAATGCCTTCTGTAGTAGCTAAAACTGTTGCAGTACGTGCTACAAGACGAGCTGTTTTTGGTCGTCCAGCTCCCAATTCGTTGGCAACTCTTACACTTGTAGCTCCACCTAGTCCTTGAGGCAACATATGTACCATAGCAGATGTATTAAGGCTGGAAAAATTAAGTATTAGTAACGTTAGACCGGGTAATCAAACATGATGTTTGCAAAGTGAAATCGATGTGTTGAAAAAACTAACTAACCTGATGGAAAGAACTGAGGTTTCTAGTTTCGGATTAGGAAGAAGACCAGACAACAGAACCATCATTTCAAACGACCATATCTCCAAGCTAAGTTTCAAAAGATGGAAAAGAGTCAAATAGACATTAATGTTGCTCTGACTCTTCAGAAATGTTATCAGGTGCGAGCAAACACAATGACTAGATTATAGGAAAGGAGTTGAGGAATACCATATCATAAGAGCGGAGGGAATTGCTAGTTTAAGATATCTCGGGATATCAGAAAATGCTTCAGTTGAGAAACCTGTCCAAGTACTTTTGAAGGAAGGTGAGATCTTAATATACGCAACTAAAGAGAACACGTTAATCCAGTAAGACGTAGCATTAGCCAGAGCAGCTCCTCTGCTTCCAAGCCCTGATTTGAGTACAAGAATCCAACAACCAAAAACATGCAGCAACGCGGTGCCTCCTGCAGTAAGCATCATAGGTACAACGTTGTTTTGAGCTTGTAGAAACCTAATCTGGCATTCGAGTAGTCCATATGCAAAGATGCTCGGTATCATGAATCGTGCATAAATTCCTGCTTCAGCTGCTATTTCTGGATCTTGTCTCAATATTACAAGAATTCGCCCTGCATTAGCCCAAACACAAGCAAGTGGTATGCTAACCAAAAGATTAACAAACATTGCCCTTTGCATATGAATACCAAGCATATGATATTGATTTGCACCATATGATTGACCACATAGTGTTTCCAATGCACTTCCCATTCCCATCTGATCAAAAACGCGTACATAAAAAAAGTTAGAAACTACTTAATATAAGTATATAACGTCTCACTATAGCTACCACCAAAATTTTTATACAAACGACTCTGTTATAAAGTGTCCCATACATAGTTAGACCTCTTTATAACAACGTTCACTAGAACTACACGTCTCACTATAGCAACCCCCAAAATTTCCATACAAACGACTCTGTTATAAAGATGCTCGATTCACATCCAATAACTATGTTCCATACATATATATAGTTATAACCTCTTTATAACAACATTCACTAGAACAACAACCAAATGTTCTTTTGAATACGACTTCTATATTATGTTATACTGTATGTTCTCTATAACAATATTTCGATGTAAAAAAGAAGAAGTTTGAAGTAAGACTAACCAACAAGCCGAACCCGGTGACAAAGGCAAAGGAAGTAGCCATTGAAGCACCAGAAAGAGCTAACTCCCCTTGATGACCAACAAACATAACAGAGATAACTTGTAAGGAATATAACAAAATATTAACTAACATCAAAGGCCAAGCCAATACCAATAACTTCTTCACTTGTACAAATATCTCTTCATATTTTCTCTCAATTCCTAAATTGGGACACTCAAGTTCTTCTTTCCTTTTTTCAATATCCATTCACTACAAAAAAAAAAACACTGGAATTAGCGACAGATAAAAATACAAGTCATTGCTAAATTATAAAAAAAATTATGTCACATATGAGTAAATAATTAGTGACAGCAAACACAGGAATTAGCGACAAATAAAATACAAGTCATTGCTAAATTATAAAAAAAATTATGTCACAATTAGTGACGATTTGATGATAAAGTTCATAACTAATTTCACGTTTTTTTTTCCTTAGTGATTTTGTCAACTAATTTTTTAGTATGTGTATATTTTAATTGTTGATACGATATATTTAAGGGATGTTACTAAAAATAGTATTATATTCTTGACCATGAAATATAATAATTGCTAGTTGACTCTTATCATGATTAAATTGTTTTTTAAAAAATTGTTTGAAATTAAGTATGGTGGTGGCTAAAAGGGTCAACTTTTATGATGAATGACTTTACATTTTGCTAAATTACTATATAATATAAAGTCGTTTTCGGTATACATATCCAAAAAAAAGAAAAAGAAAATTACAATATAAAATAAATATAAGATCCTTAGTAAGATCTTCTTTTTATTTTATTTTTATTAATAACGTGTGTAGTATAATTATTTATTTGGAGGGGGGTGGGGGTGGGGGAGCATGCAAGCTAATGTTGAGTTTATGGAGAGAAAAATAAAACTTGTATTGAGAAAAATGAAGTATTTCATAGTAATATTATGTTTTTAATATTATTTTGGAAGGTAAGTTTATTTTAAGTGATATAATATTATAGAAATAGTATTTAAGTAAAAGGTAAATTAAACCTTAGCGTATTTTTATTTGTGTTGGTGATGGATGGATTGATGCGACATATCTAAGCGGAGGTCTCTTGGTATATGTTATTTGTATTTGCAGATGACATAGTTTTAATCGATGAGACATGTGATAGAGTTAATGATTGGCTGGAAGTTTGTCTAAGGATAGGAGACCGACCTTGAAGTCTAAAGGGTACGGATTGAGCAGGGCCAATACATAGTACTTAGAGTGCAAGTTCAATGATGGAACCCGTGTAGCAAATGTGGAGGTAATTAAGGATTGATATATAATTCATCGCCAAGAAAGAAAGTTATAAGTATTTTGAGTCAATAACCCAAGAAAATTGAAAGATTGACAACGATATTACACATCGTATTACAGCAAAGTAAATGAAACAGAGACTTGTGTGCACTCAATATCTTACACAATAATAAAAAAAATTTAATTTTAGTGTCACAAAAACATTTTTTTTATAAAATTGCACTAAGTACCATCTATCTAAATTCATTCTTTTTGCAAAAAGTCAAACCTTAAGAGGTTAGCTTCTTTTTAAAATATTTTTTGTAAAAAAAATAAAATTCATACGTTGATATATCGTAAAAAAATTATAATTAAAAATCAACCTCTCAAGGTCGATATTTTACGAAACAAGACCTCCAGAGATTATTTATACCTTCTCTATTTTTAGCACTAACAAAATTAACCACTAGAGTTTTTTTTTTATTAAAAAAAAATAATCTTAAATCAAGTTTCGAAGATTGTTTTTTGGAGGTTTATTTTTATTATTAATTTTTTTGAAAATTCACAATCTTTGTCATAGTCTCTATCCTTTGAAAAATCATTTTATGGTAACTTATTTATTATATAATAATTTGCAAACTATACAAAAGACGTAAACTACACTTAAATATATAAACGTCATCCAACGAGTGCATGACCAAGTAGCAGATGGAGACTGAATTCGATTTTAAATCTCCCCATAAGGGAGCATCACCTTCAAATCACTCAACCATGATCTTACGAATTCACTAATTTTTTTTTATAAGCGAACATCCTTAGCATATACTCATAAAAAAAATTCATAATCACAAAACATGAAAACTCAAACATGTAGAGATGCCTACAATCATCAAATGCCTACTTTGTTCTTGAGTGATTGTTGAAAATAAAATAAAAAAATTTGCACAAATTATCTAAGAACACATTAACCCCATTAATTATACATAAGAACATTTGTACAAAGTGTATATAAAAACTGATTAAAAAAAAAGCTTTAAAATAAAAAAGAAAAGTACCAAGGTATATTGATGCTTCTCTTATTTCTTCTTTGGTATTTGAGCAATCAATTGAGTAAAAAGGATGAATTAATGATAATGGGACTTTATTTTGGACCTATTTATAGTTGTAAACTTGTAATGTATTGTTGAAAATTGTACTAATAACCCTTTTGTGGTGATTTTAACATTTTTTCATCTAGAAATTTAATATAAGTTCTTTTCAAACTGAAATCATGTGTGAAATTTCTAAGTCTCTTGGAAATTGAAATCATATTATACATAACTTGTGAAACATGTGATGTAAAATATATATATATATATATATATATATATATATCGTCCTCTATTT